TTTCTGTTGATGGATACAAATTCTGGCTTCCCAATACATTACAACAAGAGCAATGAGAGAGAGAAAAACAATACGTGGACAAACCAGTCGCTCTTTAATCAATGCGAGTGCTGTATGCTGGAATAGCTGTCATTCATGCCGTCATCACGTGTTGATAACGCAGGTGAGACCTGAACAGCACACGTCGCTATCTGTGTTTAAACTAAACTCATTTAAGCCTGGCCAGTTTAAATATTAAAGAGCCAGAAGACGTGAACTCGCACGCAGCGAGAAGATCTGTGTGTGTGCGCGTGAACCCACGTCTCAGAACACACGCAAATATTAAGCTCTCTGTGAAGTATTGTGCTTGAATGGACAAATTCACACAAAAATTATGGCAAAATGCCCGTCTTGGTGAGTATCCTAGCGGACATAGTCGGCTGAACATACTCTCTTAAAGTGACAGCACTTTCTTAAAGTCCCCCTGCAGTCAAATATTTTATCCCTTAAAACGTATCTTTGATCATCAAAATGACATATCTAAATGTTTTTTCTTGTGAAAATAATTTTCTCATGCCTTAAAATAGCTTGAATGTAACTCTACACCCTTGCCTCATTTACTATACGCAGATCTATGAATATATCAGTCCCGCCTCCACTCAGTCACACAGCACCGCCTCCTGATCCACTGAACTGTAGTAAACGCAAAACAATGGCATACACGGATAATGACTGATAAAACTATGTTTTTACTAGCGGACAACTACAGTGAATACTGTAACATTCGTTAAAGTTACTTACTTGACGATGTTGTGTCCTAAAATGCCTTGAAGACTCGAATACAGCCGTTTGTGATTGTTAATTCGCGGCCGTGAGCATACGCATGTGAAGTGCAGACGCAGCTGCGGGAGAGGTGCGTCTGACTCCGTGCTACTGTTACACTGTTGCCACGGGTCTCTGTCTGTCTGTCCGTCTCTTTCTTTCTTGCTTTCTCTCTTTCTTTCTTGCTCTCTGTCTGTCTGTCCGTCTCTTTCTTTCTTGCTTTCTCTCTTTCTTTCTTGCTTTCTGTCTGTCTGTCCGTCTCTTTCTTTCTTGCTTTCTCTCTTTCTTTCTTGCTTTCTGTCTGTCTGTCCGTCTCTTTCTTTCTTGCTTTCTCTCTTTCTTTCTTGCTTTCTGTCTGTCTGTCCGTCTCTTTCTTTCTTGCTTTCTCTCTTTCTTTCTTGCTTTCTGTCTGTCTGTCCGTCTCTTTCTTTCTTGCTTTCTCTCTTTCTTTCTTGCTTTCTGTCTGTCTGTCCGTCTCTTTCTTTCTTTCTTTCTTGCTTTCTCTGTATGTCCGTCTCTTTCTTTCTCTGTCTGTCTGTCCGTCTCTCTTTCTTTCTTTCTTTCTCTGTATGTCCGTCTCTTTCTTTCTCTGTCTGTCTGTCCGTCTCTTTCTTTCTTTCTTTCTTTCTTTCTTGCTTTGTCTGTCCGTCTCTTTCTCTCTTGCTTTCTTTCTCCGTCCGTCCGTCCGTCCGTCCGTCTCTTTCTTTCTTTCTTGCTTTCTTTCTCTGTCTTTCTGTTTGTCCGTTTCTTTCTCTCTTTCTCTGTCTGTCCGTCTCTTTCTTGCTTGCTTTCTTTCTTTCTCTGTCTGTCATTCTCTTTCTTTCTTTCTTTTTCTTCCTTCTTTTTCTGTCTGTCTGTCTGTCTGTCTGTCTGTCTGTCTGTCTGTCCGGTTCTCCACACACGGTTCGGCATATACTAGGACCGCGGTTCAACTTAAATCTGACAATGCATCTGTAATAGGGTTTGTTATAGAGTTCGGCTAATGCATTTTTCTGTTGATGGATACAAATTCTGGCTTCCCATTAACCAATAACCATTCCCAATAACAAGAGCGATGAGAGAGAGAAAAAAAACAATATGTGGACAAGCCAGTCACTCTTTAATCAATGCGAGTGCTTTATGCTGGAATAACTGTCATTTATGCCCTCATCACGTGTTGATAGCGCAGGTGAGACCTGAACAGCACACGTTGCTATCTGGGTTTAAACTAAACTCATTTAAGCCTTGCCAGTTTAAATATTAAAGAGCCAGAAGACGTGAACTCGCACGCAGCGAGAAGATCTGTGTGTGTGCGCGTGAACCCACGTCTCAGAACACACGCAAATATTAAGCTCTCTGTGAAGTATTGTGCTTGAATGGACAAATTCACACAAAAATTATGGCAAAATGCCCGTCTTGGTGAGTATCCTAGCGGACATAGTCGGCTGAACATACTCTCTTAAAGTGACAGCACTTTCTTAAAGTCCCCCTGCAGTCAAATATTTTATCCCTTAAAACGTATCTTTGATCATCAAAATGACATATCTAAATGTTTTTTCTTGTGAAAATAATTTTCTCATGCCTTAAAATAGCTTGAATGTAACTCTACACCCTTGCCTCATTTACTATACGCAGATCTATGAATATATCAGTCCCGCCTCCACTCAGTCACACAGCACCGCCTCCTGATCCACTGAACTGTAGTAAACGCAAAACAATGGCATACACGGATAATGACTGATAAAACTATGTTTTTACTAGCGGACAACTACAGTGAATACTGTAACATTCGTTAAAGTTACTTACTTGACGATGTTGTGTCCTAAAATGCCTTGAAGACTCGAATACAGCCGTTTGTGATTGTTAATTCGCGGCCGTGAGCATACGCATGTGAAGTGCAGACGCAGCTGCGGGAGAGGTGCG